TGTTTGACTCAGCTCTACCTCTGGTGGTTGTCTTGCCAACAGAGCCGAAGTCATCATATTATAGTGACACATGTGTACTCATGTTTATAGCAGCCCAGCTCACAAAAGCTAAATCAAGGGATAAATGGATAAAACAATTATTATGTGTACACAACAGAGCTCTACTCAGGCATAAAGAAGGATAAATTTGAGTCAATTGTAGGAAAATGAATAGAAATTGAGACTATAATACTAGATAAAATAAGTCAGCCACAAAAGGTTAAATATTGTATGGTTTCTCTAATGTAAGAGACCCAAAGTATATATAACTTAAAGAGCAAAATAAGAGAACTACATTAAGAAACAAGAGAGGCAGACACTGTAGAGATGGAGAGGGGTCCTGGTGAAGGAGGGAGCAGGGAAATGTTTACTGGGAGTAAACATTATTAAGATGCAATATGTGTATTCATCAAAACTCAGGCTGAATGTGTTCACTCTGTGTCACAACATGCAGAACACTGGTAAAAATAAAAGTAGGGAGCTGTGTGGGACGGCTGCACAAATCCATTGAGATGACTGTAAGGGCTTTGCTTTTGGTCCTAAGTGAGCTGGGAAGCATTAGGAAGGTTTGATGCAGAGAAGTGAAAAGCGATGTGAAGAGCAGAAGGGTAGACTGCAGGGAGACGACACGGGGGCTGTCGCCTGAGATAGGATGGAGGCTTGGCTCACAGTGCTAGCGCTGGACGTGAGAAACAGTGAAAGCCTGGATTTATTCTGAATGTAGAATCAGAAGAATTTTCTGAATATGAAGAACAAGAATAAGACATGACTCAGGGGCGAGGTACACACTTTTGGCCTAAGTGCCTCTGGTGGGTTTGCTATTATTAAAATGGGAAGGACTACAGAAAGAGAAAGTTAAGGGGAAGGAAGATAAGAAGAGTTCATTTTTAAGCAGTTTTTGTTTTTGTAGTCTTGCTGTACTGGGAATTGAATGTAGGGCCTTGCACATACTAGGCAAGTGCTCTAGCATTGAATTACATTCTTAACCCCTTTTAAATGTTTTTATTTTGAGACAAGTTCTCACTAAGTTGCCTGGGCTGGGCTCGAATTTGTAGTACTCCTGCTTCAGCCTCGAGATGTATTGCAGGTGTTTGCCACTATGTTCAATATAAAACGCTTGCATCGCATACCCATAATATACAAAGCATAATGTGCAAACTCTTAAACCACTGGGATCTGTTATGTTGCAAGGCACTGTAGACAGCACTGTAGGTCACCCTTATAACTCAGTGAGGGAAATTTATGTTGTGAATCCCAGTCTCTAGCATTTAGGGCACTAAATGAACACAGACCTGTTGCTCTTGTGGGTTACAGCAGGAAGGAATCTCTCTGAGGTCAGTGAGAAGAGAAAGTGTTAGAGACTTGAGCTGGCTTTCCACACAGGTAAAGGAGTTCTTCCTATGGGAAGGTGACTGAGGAAGGCATATGGAGAAAGTAACTTCAGGCAAATGGAGCAGCATGGTTACACGCCGGGGAGTACGAAAACACCTTGTGTTCAGGCAAAGGCCAGCTGGCTGACTGGTTGGTCAGTGTGTGAAGTTGATTTGAGTGAATAATGGGAGATAATATGACTAGGTAGACGTGATCTGATTGTTTCATAGCTTATTAGTTGGACAGAGGAGATCAGAGGGGAATTAAGAAGGACTCATCAGATAATGATGTGTCAGACACACTGGTATAGCGAGAGACTTGGGCTAAGGGAACCAGCCTGGGGATTGCTGCAATAAAATCTGGGCCTCAGATGATAAGGACAGAATGATACTTATGAATAGTCCCTGTGCTTTGAACAGAACTTCCCATGTCTGTATTAATCCAGATAAAATACAGATATCCCAATTCCCTTAAAAGAGGTGAATTTTAGCTTGAATAAAATCATTCAATGGGAGGATACAGCAAGAAAGAAAGCAATGTATATGTTTATGTTTCTCAACCAACACACTCTGTCCAGAATTTACCAAGCCACAACAAATTTATTTCTCAGCCGACAGAAAGTTTTCTCTGGCAGTGTCTTTTGGGAAACAACAATAATAATTCTATCTATTGCAGAATTCATTCTTGACTGAAGTTCATGATTATTGGCCATGGGTCTATTTTGCTTATTTTGATTACTTACAAATAATCCAATAATAGTTTTGTCTTTTCCTTTCTCTCTTATTTTTGCTTTTTTTTTTCTTTTTTGTCTTCTTTTATTTTCTCACAAGTTCACCACTGACTTTATGTTTATCTCAAGCTTAATGCATATTTCTTATTTAATAAAAAGATAATCTTTCTCATTTAATCAGCTCCCAAGGCCATTTTCTTTTAAAGAATTAAAAAACAGCATATGAAGAAATGAATAATTTTGATGCTATTTGGAATTGTAGTCCATGCAATTTCTTGCTAGTTAAGCTACTTGTGGAACACAGGTTTTCCTCTTTAAATACAACCAAGTTTCTCTATTGCACTCTAGACTTGTTTTAACACTGATGTGGCTGGGATTCTGGTGATGTTGATGAGAATTTGAGGGGGCATGTAGCGGAACACTTCTAGTAACAATTTTTGTTTTTCTTGAATTAGTCACACTTCCTGCACGTGGTCTCCATGCTAGTGTCTCACTGCTGTGGCACAGGCCATTTTGATTAGATGTCATGTAATCAGTGAAATCCCAACCCATCAAGGAGCACACTTACTGGTTCAGGGATGATCACCTGACCAACACTGGAAGAAGCACATGTAAGGCGAGACTAGTAGGTTCTTCTGCAAAGAAAAGTTCTTAATTTAGGGGAGAGCTTCCAAAGATAGAGAGCCTTTTTCCATCTCGTACGAGGAAGATGGACTTTGTTGCCCTTGAAGTTATTGACAGTTCCAAGGGAAATCACCTGAGGAGAAACATCCTACAGAAGGCAAAGTAGAATGAGAGGAAGAAAACCGGTCCTGAAAGTTGTTTAGCTGCAGAATCTGAACTTGCCTTTATTGCCAAGTTGGGTTAGATTTTTTTTGTTCCTGACAACACAAAGGATACCAATAGATATAAGAACGGTAGGAATTTAAGAAATGTGACGTTGATAGAGCTTGTAATGAGTCACTCAGTGAAGGAAATGGTTTGCTGAATAGTGATACTAGCTATCTGGAGGACAATGAAAGATAACTAGAGGCTTTTACAGGTAAATGGATACAACTAGAGACCATACTCATAAGTGAAATAAATCAGACTCACATGTGTAAACATCATAGTGGTTCCCTAGTGTAAGAACCTGCAAGAGTGAATAAAATCTGAAAGGTACAATAGATATTGTGAAAGGGAAAGAAACTCCTCAAAAGGAAAGAACAACTGGGATGAGGGAAAAGAGAAAAGAAAGAAAGAAGGAAGGGAAAAAATGTATATATATACACAAGATAGCTAAAGTAAATATATTATTAATTTGTATTGGTTTATTGAAATGAACAGTTAATGTTTAATTGTTTGATCAATCTTACATGCCTAGATCTGGTTACCTGAGTAACCACTTTGAAGATAACAATATGTAATACAACAATCATTGTTAATTTCCTATCACCTTGATTTGAAATTCTGTATTGTGTTTATTATTTTTATGTTGTTTTGTTTATGTCTTTGTTTTTGTTATTTTGTTTTTGTTCTTTTCTCTTTAAAATAGAAAAAAAGAAAGTTAAAAGGAAGAAAAAAAAGAAAGAATAGATTTCCATAATTTTGTCAGTCTGTGGACAGTTATTAAAAGAGAAACTAGATGTAATTATAAAAAGTCCAGTTTATGGGTCAGATAGTCTGTATTTATAGCTCTTAATTCCTGTATTTATCAGCCATGTGATTTGGGGAATTGTTTATTCTTGAAGCTTCAGCTATTACACATTTAGTAAAAAGGCTTTAGAGTTTTACTAAAGTTTGGCATGGATTAAGCTTTCGAAAAAGTAAAGTGTGCCTGCCTCAGAGGTTTTTTATGAGAATTAAGTAAGACCATATGGATAAATTGCCCAGAATAATGCCTGGCACATAGTAAGCGTTCAGCAAACTTTAGGTGCTATTATTCTTACTGGTAATATTAACACCTCATGTGTTTTCAGAAAAACTAGAAGATAGAGATGTTGATTTAAAAATTTAATAGGATTTATTATTTTCTATAGCATAATACCATATTTTTCAGTTTTTACAGTCACTTTAATGTTTAGAATCCATAACATAAAAATACAAAGGTTTTATTATCAATATGATATTTAATATTTGTTATTTAATATTTGTTGACATTTCTCATGGAGGCTGCCAATCAAAATATCAAATGGGTGTGGTCTCATGAGGGGCCTAAGACCACATCTAACTCTTGCTTCTGGGTCCTATCTTAATTCTTAGCACTATCCAGGTAATCCATGACTAATTACTCTGCTTTAATTACTTGGTTCTTTCAATCTAATTTTATTATGAATCTTGTCTGTAACTGACTCAGTTCTTTATTTGAGTTTCCATTTGTAGACATAGTAAAACTACCTAGGAATAAGTGCCTAGAAGTAAACAGACTTTTGCAGAGGCTGGAACATATTTTAGGGACTGTTTCCTGGCTGGTGTTTACAGGCACTCAGATTTAGAATTTAATTCACAAAAGGTTTTTAGAATTATGGTATTTGACATTGGCTCTAATTTGTTTTTAATCATCTTGAGTATGCAGAATCCCAGATAACACCCCGGACAGCTGTGTGAAGTGAACATCAGTATGTAACTTGAAGCTGAGAGAGACAAAATCATCAGGGACAGAACATGACCTAGTGGCTGATATTCTAGTCTCAGCCTCCTGTGATTTCTTCTCCTTCTTCCTGGCTCCCGAAGCCTTTGATCTTTTAAACTTTACAATCCAAATTGTAAAGAGCAACATGGATACAGAGGGCAGTGTTTAGGATTCCTGCCCACCAGATTTTGTTAAACAGTTCAGGTGTTACCATTCTTTAATGAATTTTTATTAGAAAACAAAAATACCATGGACAAGAAATCGGTGAGATAGGAGGGGAGCAGGAGCATATGAGTGGAAGGAGCCCTGTTTCTTCTGTAAATAACTGAATAAATATGAAAACTTGTTTGTATTTTTATCTTTCTTAACTAAGGTTTTGAGAAAAATTTAGGGATAGGGCTTGCCAGAAGATCTTTCAGGCGAATATGTTCATGCACCAAGGACACTGAAAGAAGGATTCTTTTGGCCAACTACTAAACATGGTTCTGTGGCATTTGTGTGCTGAATCCAGCTGAATAGCCTTTTTCTTTTTTGGCAGCCATAAGGGTTAAATCGGGGACCAGTCACACAGAACAATAGTTATATTCCCAGCCCCCTTTATGAAAATTTATTTTGAGATGGTCCTGCTAAATTGCTAAGTTTCCCAGGCTGGGCTAGAACTTGTGATTTTCTTGGGGTTTCAGGCATGCATCACCACATCTGGCTGCTAGTGTGAGTTTTAACCTCCAGTTAAGATGTGTGACGATGAATAGCTCCATGAAGAGTTGGGACAGAGCACAGGAGCTGGGGCTGGAAGCCTGGTATTCTCATCCCAGAGCTGCTTTTCCCTAGTTATAGCTTTGAATTAGTCTCTTGAGCCCCCTCACCTTCTTCCTCCTGTCTAACAACCTTGAGACAAAACAGGCCTGGAGTCTCATCAGCTTTAAAGCTATGATTTTCTAGGAAAGGAACTATTCATAGATGCTGGCTATTCTGCCCATACCAGGAGCAGTGGATGGTTTAGAAACCAATACACAGAGCACTGGAATAATCAAGCCCAGGGTCTGGTAATTTGTGATAAAACTATATTTTAGTTGACCGAGAAAAGCCTGTGGACTGTGCATGCAACAAATCAAATGTAACAAAAGGAAGAGAAACGTGAGTTATAGCTTTAAAGTCTGCCAGATTCCGAGCTGTAAGTCAGAAAGGAAATAATGTTGCCTGAAACCACAAAAGGAAAAGAATTTTCAAGTGTTTCCTGTCCCTGTTTCACCCCTCTGTTATACAGCCTTTTACTGGCCCTAAAGCATGTGGTTCTTAGAACAATAAGCCATCAAATCATGTAGTGCAGGAGATGGGAAAAGACCAGGCAAACAACACAGGACACTGTGATAGGCAGTTATGACCCCACTGTCAGAACGGTGCGGTTGTTTCAGCCACCTAGTTCACCTGCAAAGCTGATTTAAGACACTGAGTTACAGTATTTCAGTGAAGCTGAACTTCCTTGCCTTAGGCGGTATCTTTCCTAGCTGTAAGTTGTCTTATTCTTGCTATTTTGAAAGTCTGAATATACAAGCAGCAAAATACTAAAGGAGAATAAAACACAGCAAGGTTCCCAAGCCCAAGGCCCACAGCAGACTCACACCTGTTTGAACTGTGTAGATGAAGAGCACCTGCTGGGACAGAAGATGCTGGAGAATGTGGAGGATCAGTGTATACATAATTCTAGATGTGGAGCTCATGTTCACTCACAGATTCTATGTAATCTACTACTTACTAATTAGAATTCAATCTTTCATAGAAAATGCTCTTACTTAACCCTACAGGCAGCTATGAAACCCAGACCATTAAGCAGTTTCAAGTAGCACATATGGCCAAAGTAGGGCACAAGCAAACTCTTCTAGTCTATATGTGACATAGTCGTGAGGACAAATCATATAAATACAATGAAATATAAAAAGAAACAAAACTCAAATCTAGGAGCTGCAAAACACAAAACAGTCATACTGAGATGAGAAGAACATTGTCTCTGCCTTCTGTCTCCTCACTCCAACCACTTTTAATAATTTAAACAGTTGCTGTGATCTTTTCTTGGAATGGTGGACAATTCCATATGCTGCAGTCCATGTACCACCCTGGCCATTCCACTACTGCAGTGTGGCTGGATGTCACAGCCTGGAAAAGCCAACCTGGGCAGAAGGCACAAGACCAAAAGTATGTCCAACAGGCTGCTGGAATGAGGTGGATTAGGGGACTGAGGCTGTATTCTAGAAACAACTTCCAGTATATTTAGCTCTGATCTGCTACAGTCTCCATGAAGGGATGGGTGGCTAGCTCAGCCTCTTCAGAGTGGTAGGTCAGAATCCATTCCAAGAAGTCTGGAAACCACCAGACCTTTTGAATTCGTGTTTTATTATACCAGTGAGTACTGGGTTTACTACTGGAACAACACCTCTATCCAGTCGCCAGTTTGTGAAATTAGTGTAGCCATGATGCTTTGCAAGAAAGTGGAGCAATCCAATGGCTTATTGCTTATTTGTGTCCATCAATCAGTGTGAGGCAAGTCTGCTTAATCGGCAATGTGAGAGCCAGCCTCTCATTTTGTTGCTCTTTTCCTACACTCTGAATTTTTCTCATTAACCAAGAAGTCCAGATTCTCATTCTATTGTTTATTGGTATAAAATAATTGTTACCTCCCAGGACTCATCACTGTGTTCTCGTTCATTCTCCTCCCACACTGCCTCACTTCTGCTCTGGTGCAGAGGCTGTCAGGCATTGCCATAGAATGTCTCAGACTAGTATGGGTTCTGTGTACCCCAGGTCCTTGGTTTTAACCTTCAAATGGTCCTCACAAATGCCTGGTAATGGATTCATTCATCTGCGTTGAATGGTTTTTGCATATTTTTAGATGCTATTGTCCTGCCCAGTGGCTTTGGGCAGGACAAGAACACAAATTCTGTTCTTTAAGTTCTTTAACATTACAGTGTGTAAAGCGAGCGGCTGGGCAGAATGGCCTCCAGAGCGCTCCAGCTCCACAGCTGAGTCTGTGTTTTGGACCTTCTCGGACTTCCTCAGATGCCAGTCCTTCTCTGCTGTCCTTCGTCTCAGAGGTGACACTGGCTTCTGCGTTATTGAGATACACGCTTGGTTTCCTTGTTTTTCCTCCTTTCTAAAACCTATCATTCACTACTGTCTTGCTGGCAGAGGGAGCCTGACCCTTGCTAAGGCTCACCCATCCAACTGTACTTGTTTCTTTTCTGTCTCTTAAAAATCATATTTTTATCTTTTATTGACATATTAAAATATGAAAATGTCATACTTGTTAAAATTTGGTGGTACAGAAATAACTAAAATAAAGTGAATGTATTTACTTCTTTTCCTCTAAGTCCCATTCAATCTTACTCTCCAAGGAGAATTACTTCAATTTTCTAGGTACCATTCCATGGCAAATAAATATTATAAAACATATAATATAAATATACTTACTATATAGTTTATATATAACAAGTATGAATCATTTTATGTATGTTATTCTGCAAGTTGCTTTAACAACTCAACGTCCCATTCAACAAATATTTCTCACATCGAATTCATTTCTAAATCAACAGATTGTACTCACACAGCCTTTCACAAACCAGCATCTTGCAGAATAATGGGCTGAAGAAAGTTTAAAAGAAAGGAGCACTTCTTAGAGCTTTGCACTGAGAATCCTTCAAAGTGAAATTTCTACATATTCTGTACTTATTAGACCTAAGAATAGTTTACACAAGAAGTTGACGTTTCTCAGAAAGAAAAGAAATATATTTTAGAAAGCATAGAAAAATGTCACTTTTTTTTTTTTTTTTGGTTTTTTTGAGACAGGGTCTTGCTGTATAGTTCAGGCTGAACTAACTATATAGCCCAGGTGGGCCTCAAATTTGCAGCAATCCTCCTGCCTCAGCCTCTCAAGTGCTGGGATTACAAGAGTGCACCACCACGCCTGGCTTTTAAAAAGGCCACTCTTAATGAAAGTATATGATGTGTCATTTAACTGAATTCATTCAGAAGTGAGCAATCAGAGAGGGCCAGTTCTGGTGAGAGCCATGCAGAAAGGATGGTCAGATTGCCTGACATTATCTCTGATTCCAAAAAGTACATATTTTTGCCGTTTATAGAAGTTTCACAACTAATGAGAAAATAATCACAGATGCACAAGCATTTTAAAAATGTGTTAAAACAGTTTCATACTAAGTATCACCATGGCTCAAAATTCTTTTAAGACATCATAAGACATCTCACTTTGGCTCTAATTTGGTCCTGCTTGGGTTAGAAAAGAGTTATCTTTTAAGTGATATATGTGTTAATTTCCATTAGATGCTACTATATCTGTATTCCAGCAAGTGAAAAACCTGTGCTCCAAGATTACTTCAGTGCACTGACAAATTTGACTTCTCTATAAAACTAACTACAAACCAATACACTATACTTTCTTTTAAGTCTTAGAACTGAGTTTACTTTTACCTACACTAGCCTGCATGTAGCTGTAAACTTAGCCCTAGGAACAGTTTTCACTGGTACTACAGCATTATTCTGTGCTTCCTTTCATTTCCAAGACTATTTCCAGAATATAAGGTCAAAATGTATGGAAAGTAAATATTTCATTTAGATGTATTTCTCTAAAAAACAAAAAGACATACATTGTGTGCAGTAGCTGTAATATATGTGCAAATAAATTTTGCAAGTGACACATTTCTAGAAACAACTTGGCATGTCCTGCTGTATAAGGAGTCACTCTCAAGAAAGACAATAGTATCCCTTAGAATTTAAAGAACAAAACTTCTACTCACACTTGCACAGATAATAGGAAACTTAGGTTCTCCTATAAAAACGGGTCCAGAAGCTCACAGGTACAGCATGTGAGAGCTCTGGCTTTCCTTTTCTGAGCTTGGTTCATCTTTCCTCTACATTGTTTTATTATTAGGCTGGGGGCAAAATAGTTACAGCAGCTCCAGGTCTCACAGTCAGACTTGACAGTATCTAGACCAAGAGGAGGCTGTGTCCCTTAGCAGATCCCCCCTCAGATTTCACTGCGTGTATTGCACCACATACTCATTTCTTACCAACTAACAGCAGCAGATCACTTACAACTTGGAGATAGCAGAGCTTAAGCAAAAGGTCATAAATGACAAGACACTACAGTAGATTAATGACTTAGATTAATTAAGCTTAGTTTTAGAGGAGGGGATTAGGTCACTATCTTCTGAATCATTTGAGCTAATTTGCTCTGCACCAGCAAGAAAGGAGAGGAAATGGATGTTGAATGTACCAGCTGTCTATGATGAAGTCACAAACCACCCAAATCTTTAGGCCTAAAGCAATTACATTTACTTATCTCACAATTCTGGGGTCAGCAGTTTAGGCTGGGCCATCTGGATGGTACTTCGAGTTAGTACGTCTCTAGCACGTGTCTGAAGTCATACTCGGGTGACTAGGGGCTCTAATTTGGGGAATATACTAGCTGTTGACTGGGGCAGCTTTTTTCTCCCCAGAAGGCTGATGTTTATCCAGCAGGCTAGTCTGGGTGTTTCACTTGAGGTAGCTGAATTCAAAGAGCAAGACAGCACGCTTGGATATGGGAGGGCAAGTACAGCCTCTGGATATGCAGGTTCAGGCCTGCCCCACTGCCTGAAGCAAGATTCGGGACTATGCTAGATTCAAAATAGAAAAACATCCTGCATTTCTTGAAGGAAGTAGATATTTGCCATCATCTTCTTTGGTAAATTTTAGTCAAAGTTTATTAGAAGAATCCATATACTGTTCCTTTTGTCTTTTTTCTTCATTTTATACATTTTAGTACAACATTGTTTTTATGTAACAGATTAATGAAAAGTTAGAAGATTTTTAGATATTCAGAGTTTTGGATTTTTTCTCTTCATCTACAATATATCTGGCTTATGTCCAGGTATGATATTATTGTAGGAGATGGAATGCTTGTTAGGAAATTTCAAATTCTTAGCCTTTCGCCTAAGGAAAGTTTCAGAAGCTAGGACTTTTTTAGAGATTTCTAAGTAGAGGTCAACATGCTCCAAGGTAATCTGAATTCATTAGGATAATGCTTCATGGTAATTAAGCCTGCCAGCAGAAGATTAAGGCACATAGTAATGACCTGTCTTTCTATGCCTGGAGAGAGTGGTTTTTTTCACTGTAGCTGTGTAAACTCAGAGACCTAAAGGATGGTTTACACTGTTCAGTCAGTTAGCAATCAAGTATCAAAACTGAACAGATCCTGAACCGTGGTCTAAATCCTTTGCTGAACCACAGTTGTATTTGGAATGTGGCCCATTAGTAAATAAACTATCTCACTCAAAGCACAACTGAGAACCAGGAAACCAGCAAAAGAGACCTTTAACCCTTAAAAGTTACATTAGGAATCCATGAAATTCACTTTACTGGAAAAGAGCCTCTTCAGACCAACTTCTAGAGCCCATTTGCTTTTCTATTATACATGATTGTGTCAAGTCCAGGCAGCAGGTCTAAACCTATACTAGATCAGAAAAGGATTTCAAAGGGGAAAATGGGCACAATTACAAGAGAATGTGAAGAGGTACCTAACAATTTAACAGGAAGAATAAAAGACAAAATGTAACTAAATTCAGGGATTAGAAAGTACAGCATTTGGATCCTTTCTTAAAAATGAAAACAGATCTCTATTGTACTGTCAAGGGGGGTGTGGCTATAATTTTTATTTGTAGAGTAACCATGTATGTCTGTAAGGCAGTATATGCAAACAGTATAACACAATCAGTTGTCCTCTTCAGACACCAGGATTATGCTAGATACATTATTGTCCTCCATACCACTCTTCCAATTCAAGGATTTGCCAAAACAATAGTTGGAGAAACTTTTAATTTGAAGATTCATAAAGATATAGAATAATTTGAGAATCCCCAAGCCAGCACTCTACAGAAAAGGCTTTACTTTGCTGAGTGACTTATATGGTCATAAAATATATACTACAAAATGTAAATATTTTTCATCATAGTTCTAATATTACCTTTGAGCCCTTCCACCAGAATTAGAAAAGCTCTTAGTGATCTGGGATCCAGGGCTCATCTAATGCTTTCTCTTAGTCAAATTTACACCAGACACCATGAGTCTCTAGAGGAGCTGTTTTCTTGTAGGGTAGGATTTGAGTTTAAATGAGGAATCACACTTGCCTGAGAATAATCAACATTATATTGTGAAGTTCATATCCATATAGTATGTCCTGTGTACTAGCTATTCCAATATTCGCAAAGGACATTCCTGCCCTGCCCAGCAGGCATATGCAAAAGAATGTGTTGCTCACCACAAGGAAAACACAAAAACAGTCCAAATTCTCCACTAGTGGGAGATGGTGAAAAACTAATATTTAGACAGAGGATGATTATAGTCTAAGTAAATGGATTAATTTGAGCTATATAATATTAAGCTAGAACATGAAGCTTTAAAAACAATATATATAGTACGGTCTTATTTTTCTATAGTTAAGAATAAGTAGACTAAAAATTATATTTTAGAATGTGCATAAATATAAAAAGAGAATTTTTAAAAAGAAAGCAGACAGTGAAGTGATTAATACTTGATTCAGGGTGATGTTACTTTTGGATGGTGAGGTAAATAGGGAATGAAGTAGAATTATATGGATAAATGTAGGCTTTTCCAAAGTTTCAGCTCCTTTGAGGTATGGGTAGCATGATAAGTACCTAGTAAATTATTTGTCATATGCACTTAAATAGCTATCTAGGTAAATAAAAGTAGAACATACATGTGCCAATAATGGGCGTGTTATGAAATGGGATTAATCCAATGCTTTGTATCTGAAGGTCCATGGAAGGTATTGAAAGAAACTTCAGTAAATTAGCAGCTGAGGTCTCCGTGGTTTGATTTGTAAGACAGCTATTCTCCTTCGCCCTGAAAAAGAACCAAGGTAGGCGTACAAGTGTGACTTGCTGAAAAAAGTGAGAGAAAGACATGATGATGTGAAGCAGCAATTTCCCATTTATCTTCAAATCTGAGCTTTCTAGGAGGTTGACTTGCCAAGCCCAGAGGTTGGCTCCATTCACCCTACTACGTAGAAGTCCGCCAGCAT